TTCCGTAAATAAAATAAAATAAAATAAAATAGAAAACTGACTCTAGATCAAGTTGTAGGAATACACCATATTGTAAATTAGTTTCGCCTTTTTTTTTACAAATTAAGGTGGGTTAACACTTTAAATTAACATACTTTTCACCTACTATAACAACTTTATCACCGACCATAATCCCAAAAGCAGAGTAATTTTTCGTGCGTTGCTTTTTCAAAGGTGATGCTATCATCAAATCTTTAGGTCCTTTGAAAAGCATTTTTGTCATTGTTTCTAGATTATGGCTTTGTTTTTTAAACTTATTTTTAAATGTCGCATTCCTCAAAAAAGTCAACACATTGCGGGTACAGGGTAAAAGAAAATTGATGACAACTTGTGAAATTTTTACCGAGGGAGGTTAGTAAATTAGAATTCAAAATTAGAACTAGGTCCACTAGGATAATTAGTGGGGATAAAATTTTATAGTGTTAGTCCATTAAAATTAGATTTAGCATAAAATATTACAAGTTAGTCAATTAGAACTGTAACAAAACTAGAACCAGGATAATTGTACAAAATTATCTCTTTTTTCTAATTTCTTGATATAACAGTGAGAGTTCTAATATCTCAAATTATCCCAAGTTTTAGCTTGAAACTAGGTGGTGAAAAACTATAACTCTCCTATTTATTTTTTTATTCCAATGGTTATCACAATCATTAAACCATGCCATCAGATCGGATCTCAACTCCTCTTACTCATCTCCTTATGCGATATTTTCTTCTTTTACTAAATTTTATAATTATATAATTAATTTAAAAGTAAATAAATTATAGATCCGCAATTTATTAAAAAGGTAAATTGAGAGAGCGAGGGAAAGAGATTTGGTGGAGGAAAAAAAAGGAGGAAAATGTGAAATGTTTTTTTAGACTTGCACTATAATAATAAGTAGAAAAACCAAAAAAGTTACAATACATATAATACCTTATAATCTAAGCAAAAGTTATTTAATAGTAACTAACATTCTAGCCAACTATTTGTCAATCAATAACAGCGAGATTAAAATATATAAATAGTATTTATATCATCAAAAGGCATAAAATATATGCTTTGTGATTATCAAAATTATCCCACGTTATTTTTATCAGATATCCTACTTTACAAAACTATTCCTAATTATGTCATTAAAATATTTTACTAAAGGGTTGTTTGGTTCGCTATTATAAGGGGTGGAAACTCAGAAAACCCATCCACGTCAGATTTTTAGCCTTCCATGTCAGTTTTTTTGTTTCCATCCATTTCTTTATGTCGCTTTGGTTCGCTTGAATGGAAGAGGGAAAACTCTGCTGAAATTGCCGCCAACTAAGATTTTTTTTCCTCTCCGATTTCCTTCCTCAACCAAGTGAAATTGATGAAACTCTGCCACATCAGATTTTTTTCCCTTCTCTGCTTTGTTTACAAAAGTTTTTCTTTTTTTTTCTATGCGAACCAAACACAAGAAAAATAAATACATTGGTTTCCCACCATTTTTTATGTGCGAACCAAAGCAAAACAATCTATTTTTTGGAAAAGTTTGGAAAACTCAAAACTTGTGTTTCTTTACATGGAATTGCATTTCTCTGTATCAAGGAAACGAAGCAAACAGCCCCTAATAAAAATTATTCTACTTTAACAATTATCGTAATTCACGTGAAAACATCACTTTTGACTAACACCTTACAGAAATTGTAACCCGAGTAAGGTCAAAGTGATTTCTTTCAACCTCTAGAGAGAGCGTGAGGATAAAGAGAGCTAAAAGCAAGGACGGTGTCGACTTAAAAAATCTTTCTCAGACCAGAGTAGAAAATAAAGATTTGAGATGACATTAGAGTTGATGTCAGAGATGATGTAAGGAATCACTTAAAACTAAGAAAATTAAGTTTGAAGTTGGTTCAATTTTACCTATAATAGTTTAACCCATTAACTTGATTAGCTTCCGCTAATTTAGATAGTAGGGAAGTTGCCAAACACCATTTTAGATTTTGGAAAAAAAGGTATTTAGGGAATAGTATTGATTGAACAGAGGATGGACTAAGAGAAATAAACATATATTAGTTCCAATATTTCTCTATTTTGCATTGGTCCAAGGATTCTTCTTGATTTCGAGCATCTGCTACAAGTAGTCATAGTAATAATTTCTCTTGATTTTGTTCATATTAACTAATTGAATCCCAAACTTTTCGACTAATTCTAGTTTTGTGTCCTTTAGTTAGCAAAAAGTGAGAGTAGATTGTCTCACGAAATTTTTGGACTTGGGAAAAAGGAACAAGAAAATTGACCAACTTCCAAAAATATGAAAAGAGGACAGGAAATTTCTGGCCTCGTTAATGCTGTAGGTTAACCAAACCCGGCCTGTACAATTTTTGGTCCACCATGTAGCAAGAAATTGCACTACTTTGCACGCTTCATTAACTTCCATAACAGTAACTTAGGGCCCGTTTGTTTGCACAAATGTAACTATGAAATAGCAGGAGTAGAGGAAGTAAAGGCTACTTCTGCTACTTCTTAGCAAAAATAAGTTGCCTGGTTTTTATTTTGATTTTTTGTTAATTTATAATTTATATAATTAGAATATACGGGCAGCACCCCCATCCACGAGTGCCATATCAGTTAGAAAAAGGAACAGGCACATAAAAAGAACTATGAAAAACATCATGTACATCCATCAGCCGCAGGGAGAAAACAACTCCAAAAAAAAAGTCATGATAAATTTAGAACGGAAAATTCTTAAACATGCATGATGCTTATAAACATGGCAACCAACCACGCAAGCAAACATCCGAATAGCCCCGCATTCAAATCATTTTCATATCCTTGCTCACAAGAAATGGATGGAATATTTCAATAAAATATCGCTGTTCTGGATACGAGGATACACAAGCATTTTCAATTTTCAAATCATTTCTGGAAATGAAACTGGAATAATGCAAGAAACCATTAGCTCACCCCACTCGGTATATTGCTTGCACTCTTCGCTTTATCTTGTCAGTATGCGTTCAAACGGTTTGATGTAAAAAGCCTATATCACTCGCACACTGTACAGTCCACACACATCAAAAGAAAAGAATTGGCCAAAATCAAAATCCATGGGCAAGCTTCAAAGAATGACACTACAGGGGGTCTGCGTGCAATTTCCAGAATAAAACCATGGATCAGGCTATGCTGCTCCTAAATGATTGTAGATTTGAAAAGAAAACACCGCAACTCAACATTCATAAGAAATTCGTGTACCGTCCAATCTGATAAATAAAGCAATCACATTATATAGATTGCATCTCAATCATCAAAATAAACAACAGTAGGATAAAGAAACACATAACTCATTGGTTATGAAAAGAGAAAAGGTATACATAGAACAATGTTGGTATGGTTTTTGGTTCAAAACTGTAGGGAGAGATGCAAAGGGCATTGTTCGAATTTTGAGGGGAAGATGATCTTCCCCTTCTTTATATAAGTTGACAGTTGCACCTTGATTGTGAAGATCAAATAGATCCGGAGTAGGTAGTAAAGGTTGAGAGTCAAATTGCTGGGGTTGAGAATCAAATTGCTATGCCATAATTGATTATCTTTGTCGCGGTTTTGTTGAGAGCTTTCTTTTCTTGCTTTACCTGAGAAGAAAGGGTAGAGACCTGCAACCAGGAGATCGGCATCCAATGTCATCAGATAACAAATTATCCTTCATAATAGTTATGTGTTCATAGAATTCATTTAAGATATACATGTTACAGAGTTTCATTTGATGAGCCAATCTCGAATATGTGCAGAGACATCATTTATTCATGGTCTCTTCTGCTAAGGCATAATACTAGAACGGCCAAGCTTTCCAAGACAGTTTATGACTAATAATCCCCACCGGAAAGGCAGGGGATTTGCAGTTGGGTCAAAAAAACTGCATTTCAGGCAGTATGTAACATTATCATCAAAAGCAATTGGGTTAATTGCCGATAGACCAACTACAGTTCTATTGTGGCAGATACACCCTCTTGAGCGAATTTTTTTCTCTTTCACCCTCAGGATGTCTATTTGTTAAAACATAAATTTCTCTTTCTCTCAGGGTACTAAAGAGTCAGAAAGTTCCACTCAAGTGAGTGTATCTGCAACAATGGAACTACAGGGTGTCTATCTGAAATTGGGTGATAGTACTGGGGGTCTATCCACAATCTATCCAAAGCAATAATACTCATGACAAGAAGCCTTGTCTAAAGACTCTAAATGACAAGGGCAGAAAATTTTCCAAACTCCAAATGGTGAATGGTTCAAGTATAACCAAGATGGTTGAAGCTGGATGAAAATTTTATAAGCTCGAAGAGTAACCTCTGATCGAAATCGAGATGCATCTCTTCTGGGAAATTCCCTAATGACATCTTTCAGACCTGTTTGCATGAAGATTCTTATCAAAAATTTGAGAAGACCAAACCATTCTACCCACCACGAAATGGTGAACGAATGAATAGCAGGAGCATATACCCATGGTTTCTTTTTCAATGCGATTGATGAAACGCAGTTCACTTTGGATCCCACGTCCTTCTTTTCTGCATTAAGGTAACCATCAAAATTTACATAAGGAATAAAATTTTTGGCATCAGTCCGTTACAGAAAAACCATTGTCTTGTATATGGGTAGATAACATACATGAGAGCTTGTTGTCCTCTTTCCATTTCCTCCACAGCTTTCCTAGCTCTTTCCTAAAATACGAGGACAACCAATCATTATGGATGTGAAATGAAGAATGAACACAGATGTAGGATATGGGTATGATATATGTATGGCTCAAGAACAAAAAGGTATGGCACAAATAGGACAAAAATGATATATAACAAAGCATAGTATATGTACAGATAGATGTAACAAAGTATGGCTGCTCAGAAGGTAAATCCTCAAATCAAAGAATGCAGATGTCAAGAGAACAATAAAAAAATTTAAACACATCGATGTTAATCGATTGCATGAATCACATACATTTAGTAAGTCATTAGCAAATTCTATGAATTCAATGCATCTAAACAATTGTGGACTCATATTCATACTCTAATATTAACTCTCTTCAAGCCACAGTTAACGCGATAAGGGCCATGTATAAGCTATGCTGCAAGATAAAGCGTCCAAAAAGCAGAGCGTTTGCCAAACCATACCCCTCCGAGAGGGATAACATACCTTATCCCTTGAAGTACGAGTCGATCACTTCATAGCATTTCAATGGTCATGGTTCGGGACAGCAGCACGTTTACCAACTTGAGGCCCAGGCTGGATACTGGCTGGGGAATGGAATGGTCTACTCCTGGTAAAGCTGTTCTGCCATGCTCTTAAAGGGTGTAGCTTTCAATTGGATCAAAGGGTTACCTAAAGGCACCTTCACTTCATGGAACCTTGCACGGCCTAACAAAACTGATGCCAAAGTAACTTGTTCCAAATTGAAGAGTGAAAACTATCGAGATCATACCCCCACTCAAAGGATAGATATCATTCAATGTGCAAGTCCAGATCTAAGTCCAGATCTGTCGAGAAAGCTTCTCCTTAGCATAGGTACTATCAAAATATAAATTAAAACCCTCAACCCTCGTCACAACTTCAGAGTTTTAGTGTAGTGGCATGGTCCTTTAAGATGGTAATCAAGGTAACCCGCTTCAAATTACAATGGCCACAAAGCAGATTAAAAAAAAAAGATATTGCTCCATAAATCCAGGTTTCGATCCATGAAAGAGCCCTAAACCTATAGCGCCATGTCCAATGTTACAGAAGGCACTAGACGGATTAGGCGTTTGAGTCAGCGCCTCAAACACCTAGGTGTACGTGTAGGTGGCGCCTAGGCGTTTGGCTATTTTTTAAATTATTTAATTATAATAATTGATAAAAATATGTATTAAGTTCATGTAAATAAAAAAAGATAGCAATCTTAGATCAACAATAAACCATGCATACTTAAATATTAAATAGCCAAAATAATAGCTAACAATGTTATAAAAACGCTAGGAGGCCTAGGCGTTGGACCAGACGCCTAGAGCTCAGGAGGTTTTTGTAGATTGTCAAAAAATTACTGCAGATAATTAATCCTAACGATAAAAGTTACAATCTGACAACTTTCACGACAACAAACGAGAGTTGCAATTTGATGAATCTCATATTTTAAAAAGCCAAATGCACAGATTACAAAATGACGATCTTTGCAGAACTTGAAAGAGAGATTACAATTAACGATCTCTTCAAAGCAAAACGCGAGGGTCCACCCCCGCGTTCCAACTCTAAAACGCGAGGGTCTACCCCCGCGTTCCAACTCCAAAACACGAGGCCCACCCCCGCATTCTAATTCCAAAACGCGAGGGTCATCCTCGCGTTTTAACTCCAAAACGCGAGGATCACCTCCGCGTTTCACAAAGCTGAACGCGAGGCTCGCTCCAGAATGCGAACCTCGCGTTTGACTGTTTCAAACACGATTTGAATGGTTTCAAAACCGTTTTTTCACATAATTGGGCCATTAAGCCCCCATTATGGAGCGAATTAACAGGTCAGTTACACCCCTTAAACCCTATAAATAGCTGAGAAGTTAGCTGAATAAAGATCCTTCTTTGGATCATCTTTGAGTTGGCTTTGGTTGGAGCTTTTGGAGCTTTGAAAGCTTAGCTTTTTGAACCATTTTCGGTTGAAGAGCTTTGAAATCAGTTGTTTAGCTTGATTAAGTTTCCTTTCTGAAATTAACTTTTTCGCAGAGTTCTTAAACTCGTTTAGAATTCTCAAACTTGCTTTGTAAGTTCTCCCAAGACGCTAAGTCAAGAGGAGTAGACAACGTTCCACGAAGCGAGGTGCTCGGATCGTTAACGAGATACAAGATTCAAGCTCTAATCGCCACCAAGAAGAACAAAAAATTAAACAAAGGGAATGATCTCCGTTGATCTTTCTCTTTTTTGTAAATCAGAAAACCGATAAAAAAATATATTTTTTTTCTAAGTTAGTTAGAGAGAGATTGCAAAGAGAGATTGTATTCATTGTAAAGAGAGATTGTATTTATTCTTTTTCTAAGTTAGGGAGAATTAATAACATTTTTTCTCAATTTTCTTCTTATTTTTCCCGCAAAAAAAAAATGACAACTCCGCTGGGGACTAACTTCTTCACCGATGAAGAAGTGGTGACGCAATCCGACACCAAACTCGTGGGAACCACTGTCGAAACTCTGACTGTGGAGCACAGTCAGAGTTTCGACCAAAGTATGAGAAACTCCTTTCCACCGGATCCCTTAGCTCTAAGGCTATGCACAAGATCCGTAAAGTCTCCGAGGAGACTAAGGTTCCTCCTACTACTGTTGACTCACCAAAGGAGCGTCTCTCCTTAGGGTTATATTGTTCATACAGTCCTTCCTCAGAAGGAGAAGGCCTAGTTTCAACTGAACTTGTCAACCGAGTTAGAAACCCTATACCCGTGCCCAAACAAAAGGTATTAGGTCACAAGAGGCCCATTGTTGTGACTAACCTGATCACTACAGATTGTGATATCGCTGCAAAAGCCTCAAATTAGGCGAAGAAAAACGCTGCTCGACGAATGAGAAAATCCCTATGACGAGCACAACTTAGAGAAAACCGATTACCCAACCAACGCGAACTTCGCATTTGTGAGCCTCAACGCGACTCTGAGCTTCGCGTTTCTACTTAAGAACGTGAGCCTCGCGTTTACGCGCCCAAATGCGAACCTCGCGAAGGTCAGACTAAACATGACCCTCAATGGCGCGTTCCACAGTAAAACGTGGACCTCAAGTTCTCGTTGAACACGAACCTCAGCTTCGCGTTGCTCAACCAAAACGCGAACCTCGCGTTCAGAAGGATGTTGCACGCGACCCTTGCGTCCCCACTTTCAAACGCGACCCTCACGTTTCTGCTCTCAAACGCGACCCTCATGTTCCTGCTCTCAAACGCGATCCTCGCATTTCAATCACAGAACGCGACCCTCGCGTTGCTCAGCCTGAACGCGAGTTTCAACCCCGAGTTCCACGACTAGAACGCGAAGGTCAATTCCGCGTTAAACGCGAGCATCAGCTCCACCTAGCTCAACTAAAACGCGACCCTCGCGTTTCAATGGTTCAACGCGAACTTCGTGTTCAAAATGCAAAACGCGACTCTCGCATTTCTAATACTAAGCGCGATGTGATTCGTCGCGTTCAAAACGACGAATAAGGATTCAAGATTCATGTCTACCAGGAGTCAGCCCCGTCCAATCATAAACTGGGGGTTCCAGTTCAAACCTCACAATCAGTGAGTAACTCTTCTCGAGTTTCTGTAACAGACTTGAGAAAATTCATATCGAGAGAAAGACCGATATAACGAGTCGCTCGTTCATGTCAATGTGAACGGTTGATTTCTGCGGTCTTCTCAGGATGCCAATGATGTGCACCTGTAACTAGGCTATCAGTATTCAACAGACTGGCGAACGTCGCCTTGCCCAACAAGCGACAACGTTCCCACAAGAAGACGACTTCGGAAGAAGAGTACTTTGGAGTCACTTCTAAATAGGGAGATCATCAATCCCTAGCTCTGATGAGTCAGAGATGGATCGGTCCCCTGGATTGAAAGATATCCTGAGTGAGTCTGATGGAATCTATCAACACACTCGATCTCAAAAGGGAGACATTCCTACTGTCAACTACCAAAAGTTGGATAAAGGAATTGAGTTTGATGATGAACACTCAGTCATCGCAGAATCTCAATCCTATAGCTCCTTCATAGAACACGAGAGCTCCGCTTATATGGCGGGACACCCTGATGATCTTGTGAAAAGACTTGATGAGCAGCAAGCTATGATCAAGTCTCAGTAGGAGACTATTGATGAACTCCGGATCCTGATGACTCAAATTGTCGTAGACAGGGCCAAATTCCAAAAAATAAAATCGTCGCGCAGGCAAGAATCCTCCCAAAGAGGAGGATCATTTTCATCCCGACCCTTTAAATCAAAAGGAAAGGAAAAAGTGGTTGAGAGTGCGACTTCTAATCAAGAAGCCCATAATCTGAAAGAAGGAAGAGAGGCCGAGAATGAGCAGGATCCTCAGTCGGCTAAAATAGAAGAGCCGGAAGTCCGCCTCAATGTCATTGCCAATAGAAGCGAGCTCTAAGATGAGAGAGTTGTTACTTGTTAGGCCCTATCTAGCTGAATGGTATACAACCACCTATCCTCCAAAATTCAAAGTCTTGACTTTGTAAATGTGATATCAAATGATGCCGTACTGACTCGGTTGTTCATTGGTACCCTTAAGGAGGTTACTTTTGAATAGTTCATGAAACTGCATACAGAATGTATCCAAAAATGGACGTATCTAGAGATACTCTTCCTATCAAGATTCTTTGAAGACGACACATAAGTCTCTGTCACTACCCTTCTTACCACTAAGCAGAAGAAGGGATAGCTCATCAAAACCTTCATCAAAAGGTTTCGAAGCGTGGCTCTGTGATGTCTGACAGTTATGACACAGTCTACTCTGATGAAAATCTATCGACACAACTTACAGACCGAACTTCTAGCCCAAATGGGAGTTACAGAGTGCCGCTCCTAGAAACAACTAGTCTCCTAAGGCGAACAGGCTCAAAAAATAGTTGTCAGTGTCGAAGCTAAAGAAGAAAACAAGCAGAAGCAACCTGCGCAATAGGGCCAAACCCAATATTCCTGGTTTGAAGGAGAAGATACTATGACTTCTAAAGTCAATCCCCGA